TGAAAGATACTTTAAATGTTCAGATTTAAAAAGAGTAAAAAAAAAAAAAAAAAAAAATTTACAAACACCTTGTCACAGGTAACATACATTTTGTGGCTCACCATTTGCTAACTCGCTTGGACTGGCAGATGAATCAATGCACATGAAATAAGATCAAGGCACCGTATGCCCCCAAAGTGACATTTTTTTATTTGTATTTTTAGCAATGCTAATCTTTATGAATGCTGAATCGCCACTTTACTGGGTTGATTTCCCTTGTGTTCAAATTGGACTGCTATGGTATCAGCACACTGCCAGATACGTTGACTTCATTGTTTGGCTTTTCACATCCTGTTCTCACCAGCACTTTACATTTTGATGCCTAAAAACCCAAAGGCCCTTAAGGCAACTAGCTATGGAAGGCAATGCAAGTTTTGACACAGACTTTAACAGGTACCACATAAGGCTCTTGGATTATGAACCCTTTCTCGGCAGGCCCCACTTTGCTTAACAGAGCATAAAGCACTGCATGAGTGCTCGATAAATAATAGTATAAAATATTCACTGAGCAAGGGAAGCAAAAGCCTATTCATAAAACCTAAGCCTGGATGATGAAATGGACATACCTGGAATCTGACACTCCTTGCTGTCCTTGAACAAAGGAACTGTTTGGCTAAGCAAAAATATATTAAGAAAGCTTTTCCATTGCAGCTGGAGAACTAGATGGATTAGACTCGTGAAGATGCCCCAAGGACACCTGTAAACAGCTAGCAATAATACCCTGCTCCTGAGCTGCAGCTTGGTGCACCTGTTTGGTGGACCCTGGTGTTTTTTGGAGCAGCTCTAAGGTATTTAGATGTCTTTAAGGAATGAATGGTATTTATTGGTCACGCTGAATATAGTTGAAACTGTCCTGACAAACTCACCCAGCCTTTTGGGGTGAATGTAGGCAGAAAGAGAGAGTGAGCGAGTGAAAAAAATACTGCCTGTTGTTTACTTTCTCCCATGCTCAGGGGAAAACTGGACCTTACGTACTCTTTGTAAGGAAACAAGACTGCACCCAAGAAGAACTGGGCTTCATCATCAGTTCCTCTTCCCAGTAGAAACAACTTAAAGGAGCACAGATGCCGGCTAACCATTGGGATGACAGAGGGGCTCGACCCTGTGTGTCGGCCCAGGGCTCTCCAGAAATGTAGCAGCAGTGGAGCAGCAACTCGTGTTGCCATTGCTCCCCCGTCGCCAAATTTTCAGACCTGTGGAGACCCAGAGGTCAGATGAGATGGCCTTGTGGGCCACATGTGCTGCTTAGGCTGGAGGTGGAGAACTCCCTTTCTAGAATCAGGCAGATTCGTGGAAGCTAAGAGCTTGTCCATACGGGAAAAACTGACCAAAACAGCTTTTGTTAAATGAGCTTGGGAAGCAAATTAATAAACTAAATTGAAAAAAAGCACTTTTGCTCCAGATTAATAGGTCTTCTGTAGGAGGATAGCTTCTGCCACAGTAGAAAGTCTGGCTAATTTTCCTCTGTAGACAAGTTTATACAGGAGGGGGAGGGAGAGTGGGGAAAGGAAGTGAACTAGTTTGATTCTTCTATTTGTGCAAGAAAAGAATCACTTAAAATTCATAGAAAGATTTGAGATTGAAGATGTGCTTTAAGTGACTATTCTCTATGGCAATTTGGTTTCAAAATGATACAAAGGACATGCTATCTAAATGCCCTGAAAATCCTCTCTCTGACAAAATTCTCACTGGCTCCTATGGAGGTTTTGCCTGAATAAATACGAAAATAAATTGCTCTCTTTAGTCTTTGTTGTTCTGATCAACAGGTCACCTACCTGGGAACAAGTGCCTGGCATTCAGAGCACACACAGGAAGAATTCAAGCTAAAGGAAAATGATTTCCCAGTTTTCCAAGCAGACTCAATTTTCATCATGCTTTTTGCAAAGCGAGAATGACTATGTCTTTACCAAGATTCAGTCTGAGTGGGATTTCTGCTGTCCTTAAAGCAGTGTCTTGTGTTTGTTCTCCCTCCACCTGGTTTCACTGACTCGGTTTCTTTTTTAGCTCTCAAGACTATAAACCATAGGCACAAATACAAGCAGAGAAAAAAGCAATTGTCACGCTGCAAAGGAAGGAGCTTTTCAGGTGATGGATTAACACTGGTGGCTTCTGTCACTATAGAAATAAAATCTATTTTCCCATCTGGCTACTTTTACTGTTTGGTCAATGGGGAGATATTCTATTCTGATTTTAATTCTCCTCTCAATCACAAAGAAAATGAAGTAGAGGAAAGGGGCTAGGCTCTGAAGAAATGGACAGCACTGCTGATGGGCAGATGCTTAAGAAACATCATGCACTCTGCATCCCCATACAGCTCACTTGCACCCAGGCTATTGCTGAATTTGTGTGGCAATTATATCCTAGAGTTGGATGAACAAAGGGTTTTTTTTCCAGTTGGGCAGCCAACCTCAGAAACAGGGGGAAAAGAAGTGTTTGGGCTGAACTGAAACAGATTTTTTTTCAGCTTAGTTAGTGAAACAGATAACTAAACAAAAATAATTTTGAATCAATTGAAAACATTTTATGCAACCCAAAGCAAACAAACGTTTCCAGCTTTCCTGAAACGAGACATTTTATTTTGTAATATGTTCTCCCTCTCCCCGTTTTTTTTCAGGCAAAATGACATGCTGAATTGAACCTGAATTTGCAAAATGTTTCAGGTTCCTTTGCCTCTCCTCATAAAATGTAATTTCTCAGAAATTTACTATTCATTCAAACCAAACCAAACCAAACCAAAAATCACCCAGCTCTATTACAGTGTGTCATTAACTCTGACATGGTTTTGGAGACTTTGGCCACATGGGACATCACTCCAAACCACCTTGCCTGACTGTGTAGATCTCTCTGGGCTCAATAACACAGCAAGACTGAAGCCATGGCAAAAGCTTGCAGGATTCATTCCTATATTTGCAGGTTTTTTTCCAAAAAATGTAGACCCTGCCACTTTCAAGAGACTGTTTTGAGGATCTTTTTCTCAATGGTCGTTGCTGTTTGCTTCTAAAACTGAGACACTATATACTCTAAAAAGGAATCTAGAGAAAAGAAAACGCAGAAGGGTTGAGAGACTCTTTTGATGCCTGGAAGCCGACGTACAGATTGGACAACAGAATTTTAAATGGTCTTAATGTGCACGTACAATTTATGGAGGAGATTGAGAGATGTGGCATCTCAAGTGACATGACAGGGGACAATTACGGTAATAGAAATTCACCTGACACGTGCAGTAAAAGCAAAGTGGTTTCAAGAAGCCAGCGCTCTCCAAATTCTAATTAAAAACAGGACAGCAACCTTATTTATGCACTCCAGAGTTTAACTTAACTCCCAACTTTGGAAACATGACAAATATATTATTTTCCAAACAAACCAATCAATCATCATTTTGGTAAGTACAAGGACCTGACTATTAAAAGCCCCTCTGTGTGTTAAGAAACAGCAAGGTTCCTATTAAATCTAGAGAGACAACTGTTACAGACAGCAAAAATTGTAATTCGTATGGTGGGAGATGCAGTATACTGAAGATTCAACTGTCAATTATCACAATGGACAACACAGCAGATGGGCAAACTTAAATGTATCACAGAGGTGTAAATGACTTGGATTTGCTATTAGCATGTCTGCTGCTTCTTTTAATGTAAGAAGCAGTGAAGCACAACTGCCAGTCTAGTATATAATATTGTAGAATAAGAAGCCAGTAATTCTGGTTTAGACTCCTCAAAATGCAAAGAGTACTCCTAGCAAACATCATGCTTACGCATCCTTTGGATACTTCAGTCTGGCATAGGAGAAGTGATGACAGAGTGGGAATTTTTATATTTTCAGTAAATACTTCAGACAAAGCACTCCGGCATGACTCCTGTAACACAGTCCCCAAAGAGCAACTTGGGGCAAAACCAACACTTAAAACACCCCTAA